CTTGCTCGAGGTGACTTCTGGCGTGGAGGACAGGAAGGTGGGTGGGGAGGCGGTTTTTGCTTTGGGGGGGAGTCCCCCTCCCTACAGGAAGCCACGACCACGTGTCACGGCAGGGAAAATGGCCACGGATCCTGTTCGTCACCCGATGCAGAGTTCGCGGACAGAAGCAAAATTTTTGCGAACGGTGCTGTTCGTGACCCAAATTAGTCATGAACAGAAGTGTTCGTGACCCGAAGTACCACTGTAGTAGCTTTCAAACATAAAGTGAAATTATTTCAAATCTAAATATTCAATGAGCTGGTGACCTAATGAGGTAAGAGTGAATACATGAATCACAACCACATGGTTTCTCTTGTTTCCTGAGCCACTACAGCAGCTTGATCACCAGCTAGATGGTTGCTGCTTGTATCAGTATAATAAATGGGAGATAAATTGAGGCTGATTGAAAGTTAATTGCAAATGTCAAGGTGATATGTTCAGATAAGAACAAAAATATTAAACAATAGTTCAGAACTCCTGATTGTGCAAAGCATTGTAATCGTGTTCAACCCACCATAACTGGTTTCCTTGCAATTGCACCTGTTAGTATGGGGAAGTAAAGATACGGGATAGAGGATAAACTGCTATCCTGTTTTCTGTATTTTTTTAAAGATTTGTACACCATTCCAAGTATCATTTATTTAAAAATAAATGTTCTTTTTAAAGCATTGATCTCTTACTGTCTTAAAATCTGCAGACCTTAGAATAAAGGCTAAGCTATGACTGGTGGACACACAAAATGTTAAGAATGCTAAAACTACTGGAGAAATTTAGATATTTTAAATGTTAAAATATAGTCAGAGGAGTGGAGAGCTTGCTGAGTGCCAAGAATATGTCTGGGTTACCAATGGATACCACTTTGGTAACCTACTGTTACAATAATTAAGCTTTGGAGCTTCACAGTTCTCATTTCAAAAGGGCCTGGTTATGTAAACCACCCTGGGTCCTTGGAAATGGGTGGTATGCAGGTGATTATATAGATAAAAAATACATTTCCAAACAAATTAGGACTAACAGAATTGGGAACAGCATTAGAAGGATTCATAATGTCACAGTCCTAAGAGTAAACCTCAGAAGTTGTGACTTCAAGATATGTCCTGATACATTTTATATATGAAACTTATATAAGATTCCTTTTTACAGAAAATTGGTTAATGGTAAGTGATCATCCTATACAATGCACATTCACAGGGATGAGAGATTATTCTAGGGAGTACACAGCTTATGCAGGTCAACAGAAGGCCCAATAGGCCAAGTCCCTAATCTGTGGCTATGCAGGCTAGGTTTACTGGGAGATCAGGAGCCCAGATTCTTCCTGCCTGGCATAAATAAAATAAGCCTTCAAAACATCCAAGAGGATGTTTGGAGGAAATATTTTTTTAAAAGTGAAAAGTTTGGAATATTTGCTTGGTGGCTTTCCATTTCCCTAGATGTTCTTAATTTTATATTGGAAATAACACTTTGTGCCTAGCGCTTGTGCAGAGGGTAGTCCAAGTAGACCTGAGCGCTACTCTTCATGGGAACCAACTATCATCCGGTTGATTAGAAATACAACAGAAGAATCTTTGCCCTTTAGGCTTATATTGTAGTGTCACTAGTTCCATCTCCTTTTCTTTCCTCATCACGTGATTGTGTTTTCACTTGATTCCTAGGTGGGTGAATTCCTTGCAGCCAGCCCGGGTGACCCGGTGGGGTGGTATGATCTCTACACCAGATGCTGTCCTTCAAGCCGTAATCAAGCGCTCCTTAGTGGAAAGTGGCTGCCCCACATCCATCATCAATGAGTTGATTGAAAATGCCCACGAACGGAACTGGCCCCAAGGCCTGGCCACCCTAGAAACTCGCCAGATGAACCGACGCTATTACGAAAACTATGTGGCCAAACGCATCCCAGGCAAGCAGGCTGTGGTTGTGATGGCCTGTGAGAATCAGCACATGGGAGAGGAGATGGTGCTAGAGCCAGGCCTGGTGATGATATTTGCACACGGAGTGGAAGAAATTTAAAGACTTAACAGAGATGATAAAACAGCGTGCTTGAAATATATATATATATATATATATTCCATGTCTAAGCCCACTGATTCTGTCCTGTTGTGCTGTACTAGGGCATCATTCCTCTCTCTGTTGAATAAAATGCCACTTCCTAATTATATTGGGCAAGTGCCCAGCAATTTATGCAAAATGCCATGCTGCACTCCCTCCTCCTTATGGTCATTAACCTGATCTGATGTTGACAGAGATTTCCAAATGTCTACAAAGGAGCACAACAAATTCCTCCCTGCTCCAGAAAGAGCAGTCATATAACGTCTTTGAACTCCTGATATGACTGCAATGGCTTAGATAGCTTGGTTCTAGTTTTGGGATCTGTAAACCATGACTTAACATTTTGAGAAACTGAAAGTTATTCTGAAGAATTTTAGCCCCCCACTCCCCGGTCTGTTTGGCTTCTCTTGTCTAAGACATCTCTGTATAAGCCACATGCTTTTCCATTGTGGCCTGTGAAATATGGCATTTACACAGTACTTTTAAGATAACTTTTCAGCCTTTATATAGAGAGGGATTTTGTGAGAGTGAAGGGAAGAGTAAAACATGAGAAGGCAGATGGCAAGTTGGAGTTGCAAGTAATGCCAAATGTATACATCAGTAGATCCTTCAATGTAAACTATTTTGTGGAGCCAAAAAGCTGCCTCATCAGGAGAACAATCTCTGCAACTCATTTTGGATGTGTTTACATTGTATAAGAAGCAACCCTTTCCTGTTATGGCCTGGTTTTCAGAGGAAGTCACCTTCTTTAGCTTTGTGGCATTGGTGCCACCTCTACAGAGTGAAATGTGATTCTCCTCCTAAAGTCTGGAGATCAACTTTCTCCATGCTCTTGAAGTGTTGCTGAAGGTCTTGAGTGCTTTGCTGACTACTCCTTTCTGATAAGAAGCAAGCCTTCAAGCATATGCATCGCTCCACCTGATCAGAAATGGTTCCTCTAAATTGCATGTGCCATTTAAAGTTGTATCAACTTCATGACCTTGTGAAGAAAACAGAAAATGGAAAATGAACTCAGATGAATCTTCCTTGTCTTGTTACGTTGCCTATTTTGAGAAATCTGTATTACCTGTATTTATTTTTTTTCTTTTTTACATCTTGATGATTGTGTTTAGTATTTTGTATTATTTTTGTGCTTGTATGTTTTTCCTTTTTTTTTTTTTTAATACAGTAGCTAGGAATGTCTTCAAGTTTAGTTTACCTGTCAAATTTAATTTATTTGCCATCATTTTTTTTTAATAGCAACTTTCTTCTTTCCGATGCTTTAAATATTTCTTAATTGCTTAAAGCATTTGTGCTGGAGTTCTTGAGGACAAGGAATAAATGCATCGATAAAGGAGCAGTTAGACTTGCTCCGATTGAAGTATTTTGCTATACAGTTCCATTCTGAGCAGCTTCCATATGTTCCACTGCCTGAATATTCTTCGCTGAGTAGGAATATTTAAACCAGGCTTAACTTTCTTCTCCTAGTGCTTCACACAGATTTTCTTACTGCTATGGCATAAGAGGTCTGTAATAGTGCAGAATTTGGATCACTTCATATGAACAGTTCAGATGTCTGGGGTAAAAAAATTGCTCCTGGAAACCCTCAGTAGGAACAACGGCTGCTTGAGAAGACCTACTTGTGCTGTCTCACTAGAAGTGGCATGGGAAATGTTCTCATTATGTGCAATAGTAAGTGGCCTAATACTACATGATGAGCCCATGATGGAGAATCCATGTTATAGCAATACGGTTCTCATTCCTGTTGGTTACTGGCAATCTTGTCCTCTATGAAAGAGAAGAGAGAGGGGACCTTGGAAGAAGATACAGTAGTTCAATTTCAGTCACCTAACAAAAGCAACCCCTGTCCTTCCGTCATTTGTATGAATAAAGATTGTGAATAATTCTCAATATTTGCCAGGCAGATGCTGTTTCAGATTCTGTTTTGTGGGAAACGCCTGTGCTTTGAAGACTCAGTTTAGTGGCCTTTACTTCTTTGCAAATCTGACTGATAGGTTTTGCATTGTTTTTCAGCTGTGCTGGGTCCTCATTTCCTCCCACCTTTCAGTTTTAATCTTTGCTGACATACTGCTTTATGCTCTTCCTCTCTCCTCCCTCGTCCACACCCCTTTGATGGTAGAGCATTGTTTTAGAAACTGAGTCTGTCTCTGATAACTGTTTCTGGTGGTGTGAATTATTACTTAAAGTATCTTAAAAGTTCATTGATTAGTACTTCTCTTTGTAAGTCATGTTAAAATACTTGGAATGTGCATCAAAAATCAGGTCAGTTTTAGGGGTGGAATGGGTTGTGTTCATGTCTGTAATATGGCATGTTTTGAAAGGGGATTTATTCGTTGGAAATTATTTCTAACCAAGAGTCCCTGTTGCTCAGGAATTTGAAAAAAAAAAAAAAAGCTGCTAAATCCAACCTAATAACTGCATCTTGAGCTAACTGCATCTCTTAATGTTGTTCTCCTAACACACCTTGTCTTTCACCTTGATGTCCTGCTGTCCCTCTTTCTTGTGCTCTGAAACATCCAATAGAACTTTGTCATGTCTTCTGCCAGTATCCAAATCATTGGTTGCATTTTGTGTTTTATTGTTCAATTGTGCTGACTGCACTAATAAATTGCTTTTTTTTCCCCTTGACTCCTTTACATACTTCCTTCAGATTGTATAGAGTGCTGCATCTTGCATGACAAATCTGCAAAACTGCTTAATTTCTTTTGGATTAACCTCTTCCCGCAAAGCTGCTTGATTCCTTGCTAGTAGTGGTTCCCTACCTCTTTGCCACCATTTTTTTCTCCCTAATTCCTGCGCCAAAGGCTTTCCAGGTGACCCACAAGTGATTTCCATTTAGAGTGGGAGCTGGACAGATCAGTCGCTCCTTTCGACCATTACTAGTTCAGATTTAGCTTGCCCTGTTTTCTTGTCCTCCGTTTAAGCTTGTAGTGCAAATTGGCACTTAACTCTTAGAGAAAGATGTTATTTGGATTGCCAGAGATACTCAGCCTCTGATTTTGCAGAATTAAAATAGTTAAACTAAAAACAAGAAGAAAGAAGGGCCAAAGTACCACTTGACTTAAACTAAGTAGTTGCAATAATGAAACTTGCTGAAAAGGAGCGAAGACTGCCTGCCCTTCAGAAGATGGCAGTTTTTCTTTGGGAATGGTTTTCTTTTGCCAATGTACAACTAGGAGAAAGGGGCTATAGGAAATTTGTGCCCCAAATCTGACAGAACGGAAAGGCTTTTAGCTCAGGCTCTGGCTACTGAAGGTTCAGGTTTCCTAATATATTTATTTATTGGATTTATATTCTGCTTGTCTACTTATACAAGCATTCAAGGTGTCTTGCAATATTATTGTGATGTTGCAGGAGGAGAGAGGGTGTCTAGGTATATTAGTAGATATTAAAAATGGTGTGCTAGAGATGCCATGAGAATAAGGCCTCTTCCGTGTTACATTTGCTTCCAGAGGCTTCTTTTTGGAAATGATCCACTTAGGTATGAGCCAAATTAATATCCTTATCAATTCTGTGCCTATTACCAAATCTGAGTTTAGCGAATGGATGTCCAATGAAGAATATATATAAACCAAATTGATTTAGTCCCATAGGTTTCGGCCTGTTTTCTGTTACAGACATTACTGTTAAGCTACAGTATAGAAGGAATCAGTACTAACTTTTATCATTAGGACCTGTTATAGGAGGCCCTTTCTTACTGGTTCTGCCTATTATCGGCTGCAGTTACAGCTGTCTCCTCTGTTCCCTTTTACATTTGATACAATCAGCTGAGCTCATTGTTTGGCCTATCCCAATCCAACATTACAATTTTTACATAGAAGTTAAATCTCGATTTAGAATATAAAAGAATGATGTTAGGCTATTCTTGCTGAAGTGACTTGTTCTTGAAATATTACTTTCCAATCTGTTATGCAATAAGAACTGAATAAAAGTGTCTCCCATATTATTAACTTCTGGAGTTGAAATGCCAGATCCCTGAAATCTATAAACTGAACAGGAAAGGTTGGGAGAAACATGTTAAGCTGCTTTCCTCCAAATTTCAGTTTTGAAATCTGAACAACAGGCACTTAAGCTCTTATGGAGGAGAAAAATATGCTGCCCCAACTATGTTTAGTGATACTATTTTCTAAATCTTCCCCCCACTCCCAATGTATTATTGATGCTGCTTGTGCTCTGGCTCAGAACCTGCTACTGGAGTGTGTGAATAAATGGCTGGAATGTGGCTTAAAAATAATTAGATGCTCCCACAGTATATATCTATGAATCAGGGACATTCAATATTGATTTTTCTGTCCAATGCATAGTAGTGGTATTTTTTTTTAATTGTTTCAGTTTGTTACAGTAATATCTAACTCATATCTTTCAGGTGTGATGGAATAATGGTGCCCATATAGCATGGCTATATGCTTGAGCCCAAGCGCGTTGGGCAAACTGGAGCATATTTAAATTAGGGAAGAAATATTTAGAGGTTGATGCCTTCTGGATGTTTTCAGTCATCGTTACTTGTTGGCCATATTCATTTGGACTTTTTGTAGTCCAAATCATCTGGAGGATGATGATTAAATTCTGAATTAGATTACCTTCAGTTCCAAGGAGAATGTCTGCTATTTTGGAGAATTGATGATGACAAAGTGTGTTTCATTATTCATTAGAACTATTGTACCTGAGCTGCAGAAATTCAGGTAGCCATTAGATGGCCTCAAGGAGATACTGAAAACTCCTTCTAGTATTCTGGATTTAGGCTACCCAGATATACCAGCCCTTCTGTTCCTCAGGTCTCTATAGACTTCTGGTCAAAGATGCAATTCCCAGTTACAGTGGTACCTCGGTTCACGAACTTAATTCGTTCCACAACTGGTCGCAAACCAAATTGGTCGCGAACCGAATCAAATTTTCCCATAAGGTTCAATGTAAATACAGTTAATCTGTTCTGACCCCTACGAATGTGGTCACCAACGGATTTTGGTCGCCAACCGAATCAAATTTTCCCATAAGGTTCAATGTAAATACAGTTAATCTGTTCTGACCCCTACGAATGTGGTCACCAACGGATTTTGGTCGCCAACCGAATCAAATTTTCCCATAAGGTTCAATGTAAATACAGTTAATCTGTTCTGACCCCTACGAATGTGGTCACCAACGGATTTTGGTCGCCAACCGAATCAAATTTTCCCATAAGGTTCAATGTAAATACAGTTAATCTGTTCTGACCCCTACGAATGTGGTCACCAACGGATTTTGGTCGCCAA